GGATTCGAACCCGCCACCTTAGGTGTACGTGGCTGGCGCCTTAGCCGGCTGAGCTATAGGCGCTGAGCCCTTTTTCTTTTTTTTTGAGATTAGGGTCTCACTCTGTGCCCTGGGTAGAATGTCCTGGCATCTCAGCTCACAGCAACCTCAAACTCTTGGGCTTGAGGAATCCTCTTGCCTTAGCCTCCCAAGTAGCTGGACTACAGGTGTGCACCACTACCCCCAGCTAGTTTTTCTATTTTTTTTTTTTTTGTAGAGACAGGGTTTCATTCTTGCTCGGGCTACTCTCAAATAACTGAGCTCAAGCAATCCATCCACCTTGGCCTCCCAGAGTGCTAGGATTACATACATCAACCACTGTGCCCAGTCCGCAATAGCATTCTTATCGCCTGAGAGGAAGGCCTAGGAACCTTAGTTCACTAGGTGATTTTTATTTACATTTTTTTTTAGACAGAGTCCCAAGCTGTTGTCCTGTATAGAGTGCCCCAGGGTCATAGCTCACAGCAATCTCTAACTCTTGGGCTCAAGTGATCTGCTTGCCTCAATTTTTCTATTTTTAGTAGAGACGGGGGTCTTGCTTTTGCTCAGGGTGGCCTCAAACTTGTGAGCTCAAGCAATCCACCTGCCTCAGCCTCTCAGTTTGTTAGGATTACAGGCATGAGCCACTGTGCTGGGCCAGTTTTTACTTTCATTTTAGCTTAACAAATACTTCTCCAGGGTGGTGCCTGTGGCTCAGTGAGTAGGGCATTGGCCCCATATACCAAGGGTGGTGGGTTCAAACCCAGACCCAGCCAAGGTACAACCAAAAAATAGCTGGGCGTTGTGGCAAGCACCTGTAAGTCCCAGTAGCTCAGGGAGGCTGAGGCAAGAGAATCCCCTAAGCCTAAGAGTTTGAGGTTGCTGTGAGCTGTGATGCCACAGCACTCTATTGAGGGCAACAAAGTGAGATTCTCTTAAAAAAAAAAAAAAAAGGAAAGAGGGGCAGCACCTGTGGCTCAAAAGGGTAGGGCGACAGCCCCATATGCCGGAGGTGGCAGGTTCAAACCCAGCCCCAGCCAAAAAAAAGAAAAGAAAGAAAAAGAAATACTTCTCTAGAGAACAGATTTATGAAATGGCTAGTTGGTTCACAGTGCATAGGGTAATTTAGAGTTGTGCATCAGTAATGACAATTCATGACCCAGAATCATCAATTCACACAATTGGAAAGCAATCACACAGCAGCACAAAATCCAGTAACTAATGTGAACAAATGAAAGAGATGTTGATGTAGTTTGTCCAAGGAAGTTAGTCAGGAGGACCCCACTATATGTTCTTTGAGATCGTGTTGAAATAGAAGAGGCTGCTCTACCATTTGACAGAGAAGAGAAATTGGGAGTTAAAGTTGGAAGTTGAAAGTAAAGTCAACAAGCACTTTCTGAGAAGTGAATATGCAGAAGGTACTGTAATCATAAATATCTAAGAGAAAAAATTATAAAAAACAATTCATTACGAGGTTTCTTTTTTTGCAGTTTTTAGCAGGGGCCAGGTTTGAACCTGCCACCTCCTGTATATGAGGCCAGCACGCTACTCCTTGAGCCATAGGCACCGCCTCCATTATGAGGTTTCTAAAAGAGGATGAAAAGCAAGGGGGCCAAAGCAGCATCAAGGAAACAATAATCAAGGGAAACGTGGGAAGTGGTACTTCCAAATAGATACTCAAAGGCGGTGCCTGTGGCTCAGGGAGTAGGGCACCAGCCCCATATACCACAGGTGGTGGGTTTAAGCCCTGCCCTGGCCAAAAACTGCAAAAAAGAAAAAAAGACAAATAGATGCTCAAAACAAACACTTAAGGCTCAGCACCTATAGTGCAGTGGTTAGTGCAGTGGTTATGGCGCCGGCCACATGCATCAAGGCTGGAGGGTTCAAACCCAGCCTGGGCCAACTAAACAATGACAACTGCAACAAAAAAATAGCCAGGCATTGTGGAAGGCACCTGTAGTCCCAGCTACTTGGGAGACTGAGGCAAGAGACTCACTTAAGCCCAAGAGTTGGAGGTTGCTGTGAGCTGTGACACCATATTACTCTACCCAGGGCGACAATTCAAGGCTCTGTCTTAAAAAAAAAAAAAAAAGCTTAAAATATTAAGTCTTATTCTTGAATTAAAAACTAAAGGATAGGCTCAGCGCCTGTGGCTCAGGTGGCTAAGGCGCCAGCCACATACACCTAAGGTGGCGGGTTTGAATCCAGCCCGGGCCCACCAAAAACAACAGTGACAGCTGCAACCAAGAGATGGCCAGGCGTTGTGGTGGGCACCTGTGGTCCCAGCTACTTGGGAGGCTGAGGCAGGAGACTCGCTTGAGCACAGGAGTTGGAGGTT